AGGGAGAGAGAGAGAGAGAGAGAGAGAGAGAGAGAGAGAGAATTTAAAAATTAAAAATCAGACCAGACTAAGTCTGGTCCTGTGCTCCCTAGACTCTTTGAAAATTTATCTTTATGCAGCGTGGATGCCAGCAGGAAGTGCCCTCATACTGAATGGAAACATCTTAAATGGTCCACCACACTCCCTAAACAGACTTCAATGTGAGCCTAGGATGAAGCTGTTCAAGAAAGAGACTGTTTCTATTATGTTAGAAAACTGGGCTTTTGTCTGACTTTTGCCAAAATAAATCTGATTGGGATCTAGCTTCACCTGAAAGATGAAAGAAGAGAAAAGCTAATGATAAAAAAAAAACCCCTAATATGTTTAGGGAAGATTGAAAAAGTGTTGGCAATATTATCACACATAGGTCACAGAGAAGACATAAAGATGAAATTTTAAGTGAAAGGGTAAATCCTTTGTAGATAAATAAGGACAGCAGGGGATGGCAAGGATGGGTGGCAAAACTGCCTTTAAACTTAGCTTATAAAGTAGCAGGATTCTGTATGATGTACTCGTGCATACTTAGTTTGCAAGACCCTCCTTCCGCCTCTCTCCATCTCCATCCACATTTCCCCACTTAAACCCTAAATATCACGGGCTCTATTGCTCCTCTCTGTGCTCCTCTGCCTCTGCTTCACTGCTCATAAGACCTTTCTAGTTTCCTGGCCGCTACACAACTCACCCCAATCGTGGTAAGATCCACATTTGAGAGAGACATGAATGTACATAAAATATACAAAGAACTGGAAACAACTAAATAACAAGAAAACAGCCCAACAACAACACAAGATAAGAATGGGCCAAAATGTACCACAGCAAGAGTTCTTGAAAGGAAAACAAATGGCTAATAAGTACTATTTAAGGCATTCAACATCTGTAGTCATTACGGAAATACAGATTAGAATTACACTGGGAGGTCATTTCATCCCAGTGAGAATCAACAGATGCTAGCAAGGGCTGGAGAAAGGGGCAGCCTTATTCACTGTTGGTAGGGATGTGAACTGCTGAAGGCACTTTGGAAATCAATGTGGTGTCTTCTCAAAAAGCTGAACATATTGCTACTGTGTGACTCAAATACGTTAGTCCGGAGCATATACCCAAAGGACTCCATGTCCTGCTACAGAGATGCCTGAGCATCCGTGTATGTTGCTGCTCTGTTATCATGGCAAGGGAAAGGTTTTAGAAGTAGGACAAATAAGTGGTTTCTGCCTAGGAAAATGTACAAACCTGATGAAGCAAAGAACGAATAGTAAGGCTTGAGCTGGAGAGATAGCTCAGTGGTTTAGAACAATTGTTTCTCTGGCTAAGGACATAGGTTGGATTCCCAGCATCCACATGGAAGCTCACAACTCTCTATGACTATAGTGGCAGGACACTTGATGCTTGCTTCTGACCTCTTTTAGCACAAAGCATGCGCGAGATGCACATGTGTATAAGCAGGCAAAACATCCATACATGCAAAATGAAACCAACAGATATATATATATGTATACACACACACACACACACACACACACACACATATATATATATATTTGTTGGTTTTTTATTTATATTTGTTGGGTATTTTTATTTTTTATTTATTTATATATACATATATATATGTATTCATATATATACATACATACATACATATATATATATTAAGAATTATAAACCCCAAAATGTCCCTTAATTGCTGGAATTTCAGAAAACTGGTTAACTATCGTGTGTCACCTGTGCCCTCTCTCCCAGTCACGTTCAGCTGTTTTGCTTTGTCTTATTCTCTTACCTAAATCTATGATCTTCACTAAGGGTTTGGATAACTGTCGCTCCTCCAAAGGAATGTCCGATCACAGCTATCTTATTCTCATCGATAGCATCCTGGGTGAAAAAGCAGGACAGCGAGTTACCATCTCACCTGGCACTAGAAGAGTACATGAAATAATTCTATCATGCAATCATTTTTCACTTCACAGGGCTGGATAAATACCTTGCTGACTTATAATATAGAATGCACAGAGAGAGACAGACAGAGACAGAGACAGAGACAGAGAGACAGAGACACACACACACACACACAGAGAGAGAGAGAGAGAGAGAGAGAGAGAGAGAGAGAGAGAGAGAGAGAGAGAAACTTATTGGTCTTTATCACCTACACCTGAAACTAACCCCATCTGATACCGAGTCTCCTTGCTGAGCTCTGTCTCACCTTATCCCATGATTATCAGGTTATTCGTCCCAAGTATATTTCTTGAACATCTGCCAAGCCAGACACTGTGGTCTCATTTTTAGTGAGCTCAGTTTATCATGGAAGAAAATGATAGCGATTTTTGATACAATGCAATGCACGCAGCATAACCAACGCAGGCAGCATAACACCCTGAGACAAAGGAGCACTATGGTAGTACCGTAGCCAACCCAGGCTCTGCAAAAGCCTGGGGGGCTTCTCAGAGAAGGTGATATCTGATTTGAGTGTTGAAGATGAGACATGAGTTAGTGAAAAGGAAGTATCTGTGTCAGTCCAAGGGAACATGCATGAAGCATGAAGACAGAAGAAGGTATTTTGTTGGGCATAACCTCTAGAGAAGAAGCCATCATCTTATTCGCAAATCAAACTACTTCTAGTTCCCTCTGCACTGTGCTTTCTAACCCCCAACTCGTGCCATTCACACTTACAAACATACTTACAAACCCCCACCCCCTCCAACTGTCATTCAAAACATTTGGCCAATTCTTTCAAGATCAAGCTTAAAAAGTGATGTCATCATTATTCAATAAATTATACCTCCCTTGGATATATGAAGTTGAACCATATGAAACTGCACTTTTCAGCTCAAAGGGGCAGTTTTAATTTACATACAATTCAACTTGGTGAGGGTCTTACTGGAGCCTGCTTTGTGTGATTGTGTGTGTATGTGTGTGTCCCCATTCTAGCTCAGTATTATTTCTCTGGAATATTATATCCTGGAAAAAAGTCAAAGTAGATGGGAGAGGGTTTATTCTAAGCTCACAATAGCATGTTTATAGTCCATGATGGTATGGAGGTCAAGATGGCAGAATATTAAAACAGCTAGTCATACTGCATCACCAATCAAACGTGGAGAGAAATTAATGTTTGCATGATCTACTTGCCTGCTAACTTGTTTTACTTGTGCTTTGCTGGCCAGGACTTCTTGCCTAAGGATTAGTGCTGCCCACAGTGGACTAGCAACTAACTTAAGACAACTAACTTAAGACAAAATCCCCTACAAACATACCCACAGACCAACCCAAATGTAGACCATTAAGCCTCTCTTCCTAGAAGATTCTAGATTGTGTCAAGTTGCCTATCAAAGCCATCCATCACAAAGCCTCTTATCATATACCCTGCAATAGAGCAGAAAAGAAGCCAACTACAATTTACAGAAATATAGCCCAAGGAGAAAAGAGTTCTGTTAAAAACTCACCTTCAGCTGTTTCACATCAAAAGCTGAACCTAGCACGTTCTCTCTTGGGTTTCCATGCTCAATGTCAAGAAGCGCACTGAGAGCCTGGGAACATTCTTTTGCTCTTTGCCGAACCTAATACAATAATTAGAAGGAAAATGACGGCGTAAGGTATTGTAACACCTTAATGTTTGTGTAGAGTTGCCTGCGGGAGAAATTGTTAGTTACATCCTGCAAATACCTCATTGAAAAGTGAAAGGAGTACAAGCTAGCATTGCGACTAGGGGTTCCAGCTCGGGTACCTGCTGCAGCTAGGCTCACCTCAGCTCTGGCTTACACACTGTGTGAATTCTTTGGGTTTATATTTATTGTGTGGTCATGGTGGAGACAATATGAGCAAAGTCTATCCATCTCAGAGAGGATGTCAAGAGACCAAAGAAATTATTCCACCTGAGTTCCAAACTAAGCTTGGTGAACCAGTAAGTTTATTAGGGTCACGTGTGTGTGTGTGTGTGTGTGTGTGTGTGTGTGTGTGTGTGTGTGTGT